ATAATTATCTCAATCACATTTTTAATAAAAAATATTATTAAAAAAATTATCGTAAAACCATTTTTCACGATAATTAGGGAAAGGAGTACAGTGGACCCCAAAAGCTAGAAGTACAGCCGAGGAATCTGTGTCGTTACATATATATATTTTTGGGTTTCAGCAGGCAGGCGTCCGTTCTCGGTCGGACACTGTTTGGCCAGACCATGATCCCTGCCTGTTATCTTCCACCACCTGTTAGTTGCTGATGATCACCTGGTGTGCCCATTTTTTGAGTAAATCACAGCTTTAATCAGACGGTCACCATACCTCCACCAGACTTGGGGAATATGGGTTTTTTTTTTTACCATAAGAAATATTATTAGTAAATTAGTATTTATTTAAGTACTGATTGATAATATCTGTTTAAATATTAATTAAAAAATCAATTGAATAATCATATATTATGCTCTACTTTACTTCTTACACAAAAAAAAAAAAAAAAAAAAAAAAAAAAAAACAAAAAACGTGAACACATGAAGGTGCTGGGAATATGGGGTACTTTCTGTACAGGACGCCTGGGGGGTAATGAAGTAGGAGCCTATGAACTGTCCTTTGCTCTCCTAAATTTTATATGTGGGATTCTTCACTTTCTTTTTTGTAGTTTGGGCCGCATCCGTTGGGTTTGGGCGGGTATATATGGCTATGAGCCTTTTCTACCAACTTAAAAGAGGCATTTAGTTGAGGAGTAAGTTTTCTTTTTGAATTTTTTTATATAGTTGTTTATGAATTTTTATATATTAATATTATAATAAAATAAGAGTAAAAGTGATACTTTAAATATTTATTTATATTGATATAATTTTTAACATGTAAATTTTTTTTTTTTTATCTATTTTGAAAGAAAAAAAAGTTTTATAACTTTCTCTATATTAAATTTACTTAACAATTTTTTCCACTAAGTTTCTTTATAATAAAATTAATAACCCAACAAAATTTCATCTTAAAACTTAGTAACATTTTTTTTGCAATATTTTTTAACTTTTAGTATAGTAGTTTCTTAATCACTTTTCTAGTAAAAACATTTTTAATAAAGTGACTTTCTAACTAAATAGACTCTAAATAACAATATTACTCTTTCGGGACAAAGGGTTGAGTAGAGACTTGAGACACCCAAAATATAAAGGATGGACATCGAGAAGACACAAGAAACACGGAGAGATTTAAGGAAGGAACAAACAATCTTGTCCATCAATTACACGTACCAAGAAGAGATAACACACAATTACTTGTTATTTTTAAAGAAACAGAAGCAAAAGACATATTGCCATTTAAGAATGAATGAAATGAATAGGGTGGGTGGAGACATGGACACTGTCAAACATGTTCAAGTAGCACTACTACTAGAAGGCAGAAGCATAACTAACTCTAATCTAAAAACTCATCCTTCCATCTTCTTCGAAGGCTCTAACCAATTAGATTTTTCTCTGTCTATTCCTATCCCTTCTGACAAAACATGTCATCATCATCACCTAACTTCCTACTTATTCAACCAATGTACATACCAAAATAATAACAATCAATTGCTACCATTGCTAATTAACTTGCTGTTGCACAAGTTTAGCAGCAGACAGCTCAGCCCTTTTTTCTCATCCCCTCGGCCTTTCTTCTCATCTCTACGATCTTTCGGTGAGAGTTTGAGTGCAATGATGGAATGAATGTAGGACTTGCAGCTGGTCGGTACTCTGGAACTAGGCGGCCAGACCTGTAACGAACTCCACATGCATTACACAGGGTCTTTGGCCCGTTTGGTCCTTCCCTCCATTGGGGAGTTTTTGTGATTCCACAGTGCAAACATTTTCTAACTAGCTGCTGTGATTCGGATTTATCCATCTTGCTAGAATCTGAGCGCAATGTCAGGTTCTTTTTCTTTTTCTTTTTCTTTTTCTTGGAAGGCCTTTCAGCAAGATGGCCATTTGGTTCTGATTCATAAAAACCATCTCCTGTAGAGGAAGAGGATAACAGAAGCAATATAGCTTGGAGATTCAATGTTGATGCTCGTTTGCGCTTGCTCCTAGTGCGCTTCACTAGAAAGTTTGGTTTGAGGTTAGCAGATGAGTTCTCAGCTGGCCCTGAGCAAGAGCTGATGCTTTCAAGGACAGATACTGGACTGGAGGTCCGGAACAGGCTTGCATCTTTCACATCAACAGAGTTGTCATCAAGGAAAATGCTTAGTGGAGAAGATTTCCCACCCTAGTTACAGCAGTAAAGTAGAATTCAAATAGAAGTCAGTTGTGAGATTAATGAAGAATTTATCACATTATCTAGAGAGCCGATGATAATGCTGAATTAATACATTGTTCAACAA